AGAGAGAGAGAGAGAGAGAGAGAGAGAGAGATGGGACAGGTAGGGGTTACGCAGGAATATCTCAATCGCTACGACTTGTAAAGTTCATTCAGTTATACATACAAAACAGATTGAAACTGCGGTGTGAAGTCCCATATGAATATACCGTTGCCCTCGGCGTTCACATCCGGGTATTTACTACTCAACACTTGCCGCAACTCATCATTTAAGTAATAGACGACGAGTCCCAGGAGTGGGCCCTCCCGTTCCCAGTTATAGGTATCCATAAATCCTTTCAAACCGACTGAAAAACAATGAATTTATTAAATATGTGTCAATATATTTACCGATCAATGGGTTATCGATAGGGACGGCGATGTGATCGGTATAACTATAGGTGTGAAACGTAATGCCCACCACTTGTCCCGCGGTGTTGATCAGTGCGGGCCGATTGCCGATTAGCGACGTGTGATGTATGTATCGATGGTTTGTAACGCCGTATTGTAACCCTCTATCTAAAGCCTTAATGCTATTAACATCATTGCCGGCGATTGACCGGTCAATGACCGTTCCGTTTAAGACAAAATCTCTGTCCATACACTTGTCAAAGCCAATCGACAATACCGTGTCGTCCAGTCCCAGAGCGCTTGGTTCGCCCCAATCCACTGTCGGCCAGTCGGTCACAGTGTTGTCGTCCAGCATAAGCACCATAAGCTCAAACTCAGGCAATTTGTTCACGAGGTGTGCGACAAACTCTCGGCCACTGTTCATACGGACTAAGAACTGGCCGTTCTTCGGGGCATTGGTCCCACTACTGGCCAAAACAAAGCCCCGTTTATGGCATATGAATCCGGAAATATCATTGTGATCCCGCGAATCAATGCCCGCCTTTCTGTCAGACATACGGTGCGATTCCATCACTGATACAAACGGTGAGAACCACTCTTCGCTGAACATTTTGGGTCTGTTTACTGGTTGTGTCGGCACAGGTTTTCCCGTCATTTGAACGTTTCTTAGCATAGAATGACCATTGGATCCATTGTTTGCCACCAATTGTAGTGATTGTCCATCTCTTCGGTGGTATTGAATCCAGTAATTAGTGGCAATCGTCGCCGCGATTGCGGTTCTGGTCCACAGAAATAGTGGTTTAATATAGAATTTATTTTTCATTTATTACTTGTTTGAATGCAAACCTTTTTATGCGACAACTAATCAAACGATTCATTACAAAATAGCTTTCAACGAAATGTAAATTAATTGTAAATTAAATACAAAAAAGAGATTAAAACAGACACTAAATATAGTCTTCTTTTGTTTACGTAAACAACGATATAATCAATAAAAGGTCATAAAATTTGATTTGAATTTTATTCATATTTCACGCGAGAAAATGCATTTACAAAACAATCAAATAATTATTTTTCAATAAATTGTTATATCATTTAAGATTATATTTGTCTAAAAACACTAAAAATCAAAAATGAATGAAATAAAATATGAGATTAAAAGGAAATGAAATTTGCAGACAATTAACAACGGGAAAAACTGTGATAATCACCAGTCAGTGGCGTAATCTTTATATCACTGTCCTTTCCCTTACTGTTAACCGTGAGCTCCAACGGCTGGTCTTTGTCTAGACTTTGCATCGCTTCCTCCAATTGAGTAAACGTTTTGAGAGGTTTGCCATTGATTTTCACAATCCGGTCTTTGAGAAGCAAACCATCGGCCGCTTTAATACCCAAACCGGTGACCACTAAGCCATCGTCCGTGCGCTCCAACACCGATCCCAGCGATCGTTTGACTCCCATATCGTATCGCTTTGTGATCATTTCCTTCTCAAACCTCTTGGCCTTATCGAGAACTCCTGTGCATAAGATTATGATCGAAACATAATCAACTAATGGTACATTTAAAAAACGTCCTAGCCCAATCTAGCAAACATACCTAGAACATCTTTTGCCAATATAGCGCTATTATTGTGGGCGCCGCCCCAATAACTGACGGCCACAACATTACCGTCCCGGTCGACAACAGGGCCGCCAGAGTATCCAGGAATTGAAATGGCGTTATGTTGGAGTTGGGGCACATTCACAGCGCCCCTATCTGTTGACATCCCAACGAACTGAACCTCACCGAATGAGCAGCAAAAAGGCACCGAACCGCCCATTCCGATGGGCATCACTGGTTCGCCGGGCTGTAAGTCGCGGTCCACTACTGTTAGCGCCGGTATAGCGTTCGGAGCCGTAAACACGCGCACAACAGCCAAATCCAGAGTTTTGTCGCAGTAGATGACGTGTCCGGGCAGTTCATCCGTGTACTCGTCTTCGGTGTCGGCGAAATACTTGTAAGGGTCGTCGTCGTCGTCGTCGCCGGTGTTGTAGTCGTCTTCGCCGAAAAGCACTGATTTGGGCATCGATTCCGAGAGATGGATCATCACTCGCGGCCAGTCCTCTGTCACGTGAGCGTTGGTCACAATGAGACCCGAGTCGTCCACAAGAGATCCGCTGCCATTGCCTTCTTTAAGGAAAACCTTTACCACTGATGGCAAAACTCGTTCATATACTTGGCTCATGTGATCGGCGGTCGCCGTGTCCTCCAAATGAGCGCTTCTTAGAGTTAGCGATAGTTTGAATGAAGAGTTTGTGTGACTTTTGGTGGTATTGTTGTGACGGATGTATTCATACCAATCATTACCCGCTATTATAGCCGGTATTGACGCCACTAATGGGACACTGATTTCCGATACAAATATTAGATTCAGATTTTATTTAATTATTTTTAATTTTGTTTAAAGAGTAAACCTTTTGCTGTATTTCGTGAACAAAGTATTCAATCGATACATATTTGCAATCAAATAAATCTCTTTTCAAAAGCAAAACAAAATATTTTGAATCAATTACTGAACATTTGAATCGATCGATGAATACAATAATTGAATTGCATTCAAATCTCATGTAATTATTTATTGTGAATATTTTGCAATTTCTCGTTTAAACAATTATAATTTATAATTATGTTTTTGTAATGAATTATTTTGTTTTTTCATTAATTTGAATGAAACCCAGTTTTGCTTATATTTGTAAAACTATCATTCATAGTCTATCAATCATTATTATCTAGATAATAATTTATTCTTTACATTGTTTTTTAATTTTTAATACTTAATGTACTTTATAATGATTAACACAACTAATGAATAAATTAATTTTAATAAAAGCATTCAAATAAATACAAAAATCAAAACAATTTAGCAAAAATAAAAGTCTAAATGGTTTAAGTGGTCACTAATGGGACACTACATGTGCTATTAAACGCATACATCGGTCGATGTACTGTTGCCCCTGAAGTAAAACAACGTATTCAACAACTGATTGTTAAAATCGATGTGTCTTCGGCCGCCATTCAACTCAATGGTAAACTTAAAGTTATTCTTAAAATCATCCATCGCTTCATACAAGACGTCCATATTGTGGGCATCGACTCCATTGATGCGAGTGATCACATCGTATTGGTTTAATTTAAGAATTATTTCTAAGATATCGAGTTGATTGTCCAACGGTTCCCAATAGACAATGCCATCGGCCGGCAATTGAAGCTCCGGGTGTTCGGCGACCAATTGGTTCCGCACGTCAGCCAACGGGCGGAAGATTCCCTTCAGAAGCGGACCATCTTCTCGATCAATGGAAAACGCATTCTCATTCAGATTATCTGAAATGTAAGCCACAAATGATTAATGGGTGTGAGCTGTGGGGGGGGGGTGAGAGTCATAGGCTTACTCAGTATCTGATGTATTGGGTAAGCGATAATGTGCTGATTCGCGTGAAACACCCAATTCATGGCAATGACACTGCCTCCGGTGTCGACGACAGCGCTGCCCATGTTTTTGGCCATAATTTTGGCCGAGTGTTGGATATAATGTGATTGTGTGACGAAATCATTCCTGCCTTTAAGAAAAGGGATGTCTTCGCCCTTCCGGTGGGGATTAGTGACCATTCCGTCGGTTAACTGATTGTACAGCCCGTGAATGAAAACGCTCGGCACCAGAACTCGGCGAAAGCGTGTGATAACCATCTGATGCGGTTGCGCCACAACGACGACCGGCCAGTCGTCGCGACGGCCATCCAGTCGTATGACAGCCACACCGATATCGATGTTATGAAAACAATGTTTGCCAATCACTTCACGCCCGGAGCCCAAGCGTATCACAAATCGTGTGAATCCGCCGTAAACGCCGTATTGTGTCAACACATATCCCCTCTCACTGATTATGAAGCCCGAGCCCAACACCAAAGGCGTGACATTGTGTTGGTTGTGACCTGTCTTCTCATACATGGGATAAATTGTCACAAATGGCTCAAACCAGTTGTCACTGAATGGTGTGACAGTTGGTTGTTGTAGTGAACCACTGCCTGAATTCAATGATACTCCCGAAGAATCGTATCCACGACTGGACATCATATGAGCTGTGTTTGTGCCCAACCATTGTCTCGTCCACTGCTTGTCTGACCACTCATTCAATGCAAACGAGAGACCAATCGCTGGAATCACTGCTCGAACCGAATGTCTATTAAATGAGACAACAATTTGTTGCAAACAATTCACGGCTTAAAACACTTTAGATTTTAATACCTATTAATCAATACTCGAAACAAAGAACCCATTCTTTGGCAATACATTACTNTGACCACTCATTCAATGCAAACGAGAGACCAATCGCTGGAATCACTGCTCGAACCGAATGTCTATTAAATGAGACAACAATTTGTTGCAAACAATTCACGGCTTAAAACACTTTAGATTTTAATACCTATTAATTAATACTCGAAACAAAGAACCCATTCTTTGGCAATACATTACTGGAAACACAATCAATAAATAAAATATGAAATTAAATTCAAATTACAAATTTTTAATTGTTAACTACGAGAAAAAACTAATTTTTAATGTTATTTTAAAATCTGAAATAACTGTCGAGTGAATAAAAACATTTTAATTTTTGCATAAATAAAATAATACAATAAAACAAAACTAAATATCAAATAACTAATGAAATAATTGCTGAATAAAAGGCACTTTTAAAAGATAGAGTAATTGAGAGGCCGGGGCCGCACCACCACCTGAATGGGGTCGGACTGTCCCACCCGTAACACAGTAAGGGGAAGGCCAGCACCCGATGCCAGACCATTGAGAGCAGCGGTCAGTTGGGATATTGTCTGAAGAGGGCTGACATCGATGTGTGTTATTTGGTCATCAACTCGTAGTTCAGTCCTATTTTAGATTTTAAAAACAAATTAAATACAAAATAATTATGAAATAAAATAAATATATTTTTAACATTGAAAAAAACCAATGCATACTCATTATTATTGTCCGTAAACTTCAAAACATGGTAACCAGTGTCGTCGCACCTCAACACTACTCCCAACCGATTCTTGCCCTCAAATGAGTACCGGTTTCGCCGGTCTTGCGTTTCGTACGCCAAACCCTTTTGGATAAAGTCTAGGAAACAATAGTCAATAATCAATACATAACTCAATAATACAATAAATGATTGGCTCATTAAATTGCGAGACCCGGAGGCCATTACCTCGTAAGTCCGCTGTCTTTGCAATGAAATGTGTGTCTATTCCAGAACACAGCATAACTCCCACCACTTGTCCATTCATGTCGAGCACTGGACCGCCGTTATAGTCGGGCGCCGATTGGATATTATGGTCCATATACTGACGGTCCGGACTGAGCGCGTGTACCTCGGATGATCCGTCCGGGCAGCTGATGGCGCCGGTGACGTAACCACGCTTTTGGTCGGGCATTCCCAACACCACAACCCGTTGGCCGTACACAGTGTGCAAATCGGCGCCGAGCACTGGCAACGGCGGCACAACATCAGCGTTGATATCGATGAATTTGATGAGCGCCAGACCGACCATGGGATCCCTGTAAACCACTTTACCCTCGATGACTGTGGTGTAATTGTTTGGGTTCACCGCTAAGTCACGCTTCAAAAGGTGTGTGAGAACGCCAGTAGAGAGACGGACCGTCGCTTTGTTGTAGCCGCAAACAGCCAGTGATGTGGTCACGACATACCGGCCCCTCTCCACTACAAACCCACTGCTGTAAGTCTTGGTTTTGTGTTGTGCATCCGTTAAAGACACTACCGATCGATGCCATTGCTGGAAGTGGTCGCGCACTTCCGTACCGTTCAAACGCGCGTTTCTTAGTGCGAACTCCGGCCACAATCGGGTGTTTGTCCACTCGTTTGACTCATTTTGGCCACAGTTTTGTCGCCGCCAACAGTGGCCAGAGATGACAGCTATGGGCGCCAGTATTGGGGCACTTGTTTTGGCAGGAAATTACAGTTAAATATACGGTACAATTTGTTGTATACAAACCTTTGCCCGCATTTTCTCAATATAACTCTCAATCGATACATAAATCACTGCTTTTTATTTCAATTTATAATAAATACTGAAAAATTACATGAAATCAATGACAATTTCTATTCAATAAATCAAACGTTTATTTAAATCAATTAGAAATTATATGAAATGCAATAAATTTGAATTAAACTATATTTTAAATGAGAGACAACTGAGAAATATTGTTAAAGTTATTATTTGCTTATTATTATCTCGTGTTTATGGGATATTGATATCAACTAAAAATACAAATTTGTATATCATTTTAATGCAAACTTTACAACAATTTAGTATAAACTAAAAAATATCTATATTTATGGCTATAAAATATGTGAAGATATCTAAACAAAACGTGTTTTACTATCAAACAGTTCGTCCAAATTATCTTCGGTCAGAGTTATAACAAGTCGTATACCGGAAGCCAACAATATTTCCACTGATTGGCGGCACCTAATCATCTGTACGGCCCGATCCATGTCCTCCATCTCCCGGACGGCCACACCATTGATATGTGTAATCACATCAAACCTCTTCAGACCGTAGCTTTCAATACATTTTTTAAATCATAACAAATTACAAATATTAATGTCTTTATAAATGCATTTACACAACGTTTGCACAGTAAAGGGATGAGTGACTCTCCACCCCATAACTAATTAGGTGGGGGAGGGGGTGGAGACCCGCACACATCTGGCCACCAAAAGTTGTACATTACTTACACTATACTATGAAACTCGGGCGTGAAGTCCCAAACGAATATACCGTTCCCCTCGGCGTTCACAACGATTACATCACTTAGTATTCGCCGCAACTCATTGTCCACCAAATAGGCCACGAGTCCCAGAGGCGAGCCCTCCCGTTCCCAGTGATAAGTATCTATTGATGCTAAGATTGTGTCTGAAAAAAGCAACGTATTTAATAAAGTGGCCACAAAAGTGCGTTTAAAACCATATTTCTATACCAATCAAGTGGTCACTCATAGCTAGGGCTATGTTGTCGGTCTGTCTAACGCTATCGATTGTGATGCCCACCACTTGGAATCGGGTGTTGACCAGCGCTGTATTGGCGACCAAATTGGTGACCGCCGTGTGATGTATGAAACGATGGCTAATAATGTCGGGAAACCTATTCTTCTTTTCGTCGATGAATGCGATATCGAAGCCAGTAATGGACGACTTGATGACAGTTCCGGTCGTTAGCTGATTGCTATCCCGAGAGCCGCCCACAGACCACACCGTTTCGCCCATTTCAAGATCGTTAGTGCGACACAACTCGACGGCTGGCCACTCGTCTACGGTGTCGTCCCTGTCCTCCAGTAGTAGAACTTTGAGGTCGAGCTCAGGCACTGTCTTCACGAGGTGTGCGTCAAACTGTTGGCCGTTTCCCAGACGGACGTTGAATCGACTGTTGGGCGGAAAATAGGAGTGTAATCGCGTCAACACAAACCCCTTGCGATGGCATATGAATCCCGAAGCAATTGGATGGCCCGTCACTTCATCCCCGGGTTTGCACTCCGACTGACTGTACGATCGTTTGATTGTCACAAACGGCGCGAACCTCTCGTCGCTAATGGGTTCGGCTTTACCTATCATTTGAGCCCTTTTTACCAGAGAGTGACCATTGGATCCGTTGTTTGCCACCAATGGTAGTGATTGTCCATCTCTTCGGTGGTATTGAATCCAGTAATTGGTGGCAATCGTTACCGCGATTACACTTCTGATCCATAAAAAAGTAGTTTAATAATAACCGGTAATTCATTTGTTTCTTTAATACAAACCTTTTTATGTGAAAACTAATTAAGCGATTCATGTCTTAATAGTTTGTAATTAAATTCAATTGAAAGTCTGATTTAATAAGATTTCTGTTATAAATAAAGTTATATTCAATAAATTAGATTTCAAATAAACTAAATTAAAATTTTTGTTTAATAACGAGAATTAAATAAGTTATCAATTGTTTTCATAAATGTATTGAAAATGCAATTTAATAATCAAAATATGAATAAATAAGAGAAATGAATGGCAAATGTTTATAACAAGAGATATAATCAACAAAAAAAAGGAAAAATTTTGAATTAATGTTTATTCATGAGAAAAAATAAATTACTTGTAAATCAAAATTTAATAAATACTTTATGAATAAAACCAAGAAATGAATGAAAAATGTGGCCATTAATAGCGAGAACAGTTGTAATCGTGAGCAGAGAGTGGCTTAACCTCTATATTACGGTCCACTCCCTTTCTCTGAACCGTAAGACTTAACTCCTGGCCATTTGGCAGACTTTGCATCGCTTTCTCCAATTGGTTAAATGTTTTGAGAGGGATGTCGTCCACTCTGACTATACAATCGGTTTCATACAAACCGTATGCGTAATTAATACCCAAACTGATGACCACAAACCCGTCCGCACTTTTCTCCAGCATTACTCCCAACGACTTCTTGTTGGCCATTGAGAAGCGCTGTCTCCAACTGTTAGGCCCGAAATGTTTGGCTTTTTCCACCACTTCTGAAATTGTGATCAAAAAATATATAATTTATGGCATAATGTATACAATATGTACGAAATAATGTGTATGAAAATTATGCACAATACAAAACACACAGCACTTTCCCTTTGAAGTGCTTATAAAATAGCAAATGACATACTTATGGCATCGGTGGACAGCACTGCCCGACATTCATCGAAACTGCCGCCGAAATTAACGCCAACGACAGCGCCGTTGCCATCGAGTAGAGGACCGCCGGAATAGCCGGGAATAGTGACGGCGTTGTGTTTGATAAGCCGCTCGGGTTTGACCTGTTCTATGGACGGTCCGGCCGTACCATTCAATATACCCACTGAAACACTCGATAAAAGGGCGGGATTTCCGATCGCTATCAACGGTTCGCCGGCCTTCAAGTCCGTCCGTTCGGACAGCTTTAGCGCCGACAAAGCGCCGGGAGTTGAGTACACGCTTATGACCGCCACATCCACATCGGGCTGACAGTACAACACGTGTCCGCGTATTATTTTTACCGTCTCATCGCTGCGGTCGCCGTCGAAAAGTTGCGACCGTTTTATTGGTTCCCACAAATTGATGTCCACAAACTGCTCGTCCGTAACCACGTGACAGTTGGTCACAATGAGTCCCAACTGATTGTCCACAATACTACCGGTTCCCCGGCCTGTTTTGGTTTGTACGCACACCACTGATGGCATCGAGCGGTCAATCACTTGCTTTATATCATCGGCGGCTGAAGTGTAGGACAAACGAACGCTTCTTAGAGTTAGCGATGGTTTGAATGAAGAGTTTGTGTGACTTTTGGTGGTATTGTTGTGACGGATGTATTCATACCAATCATTACCCGCTATTATAGCCGGTATTGACGCCACTAATGGGACACTGATTTCGGACACAAATATTGGATTCGTTTTATATTTTAATAAAATTATATTTTTTTTTATATAAAACCAAACCTTTTGCTGTATTTTGCGAATAAAGCATTTAATCGATACATATTTACAATCAAAGAAAACACATCAAAAGTGAACCAAAAATAATTTCAATCGTTTAAATCTATGATTAAATTAATGTAACAAACATTTGAATCGATTAATAAATACAATTTAAACGTGATTTAACAATTAAAAAATAATAATAATAATGATAATTATTATTATCTGTATTGTTTAACATGGAAAATAAACTGAAACAATTCATAAGTCTATTATAGTAAGTCAACAGTAATAAATAATGATATGTAATCTTTATTACTATTTATAATAATAGTAATGTCTATATACAAGATATTTATAATATGTAGATATTTTAATAGTGTATATCAAAGCACAAATACAAGAGTGAAATGTTAAGTAAAACCTTGTTTCTTTTTCTCATACAATACACGCATTAAACGCATACAACAAATGTATTTTTTGGCTCGACATAGGATTTGAGTATAGTTTGCGCTAACCTTACCACTTTTTTCCCGCCATTGAATTCAAAAATGACAATTTTACCACATTTTAAGTCCTCCGCCGCCCGATACAAGTCGTCCATATCGTTGACATCGACTCCATTGATACGAGTGATCACATCGTATGGCTTTACTCCCAACTCATGCCACATAAGCTTCTCGCTATTGAGTACATCCCATAACACAATCCCTTTGGCCGGCAACTGATCCCTTTGTACCCGTTGTTTAGTGACCAACCGGTCCTTCACGTCATCGCTCAGCCAATAGAAAATACCGGACAGAAGGGGACTCTTATCGCGGACCACAACTCGATTTATAAGTCCTATTCGTTGTATAATTCATAAACCATATCATTAAACAAATTATGTGTACAACAAATGCTCACCTAATATATGATGTATGGGTAGAGCGATAGCGTGTCGATAGAGGGTTAAGGAGACATTGACGCCAATCACGTGACCGTCAGTGTTGACCAAAGCGGTGCCGCTGTCGATGTCATACAGCGCTGCCGAGTGCTGGATATACTCTCGACTTCGTACAAAAGGCGGACTTTGCCTGAAATCGCTGATATCTGTGCCCTTCCGACGCGGGTTTGTGACGATTCCGTCGGACAACTGGTTGCAGAGGCCGTGACGGTGAGAGCTCACCACAAAAATCTTGTGATAATGTGCGGCACCGGACTTTTGCGGGTCTACTAGTTGGACAACTGGCCAGTTGTTGCGATTGCCCGCCAGTCGTATAACCTCCAGCTTTGTGTCCCTATTGCTGGTCCAAAGCCTGCCGACCACTTCCTCGCCGGAGCCCAAACGTACAATAAATTTGGTAAACTGTTGGCAAACCTGTTTGTGGGCCAACACAAGTCCCTTACTGTCAACTATGAAACCCGAGCCCAACACATAAGGCGGCACTTCGTTTGGTTTCTGTTCACTCCTCTCGAGCACCGGATAAAGGGTTACAAACGGTTTAAACCAATCATCACTGAATGGTGTCACAGATTGTTGTGGTTGTAGTACTCCTGCAGAATCCGATGCATGACTTGACATCATGTGAGCTCTGTTTGTGCCCAACCATTGTCTCGACCACTGCTTGTCTGACCACTGCTTGTCTGACCACTGCTTGTCTGACAACTCATTCAATGCAAACGAGAGACCAATCGCTGGAATCACTGCTCGAACCGAATGTCTATTAAATGAGACAACAATTTGTTGCAAACAATTCACGGCTTAAAACACACAATATTTTAATACCTTTTAATCAATACTCGAAACAAAGAACCCATTCTTTGACAATACATTACTTAACAGATAATCTATAAACGAGATGTGAAATTGATGTTCAGTTTGAATATTTAATAATATTAAAAATTCACATTTCGAGACGAAAGAAAAATAATAAAATTAATTCAAAACATGTAATTTATTTTAAGTATTGTTTATTGTTTAACATCTAAAATCCTATATATGGTTTGATTTACATTTACACAGCATTTAATTAAAACAATAAGCAAAACTGATAATTAAAATAATTGAGAAATTATTAAATGATAATATGGTTTAAACGATAGCGCAGTCCAGAGACCGGGAAATGACAGACACAAGCACTTCACTGTACCCGCGATCAACAGTGAGGTGAATGATCTGACCCACGGGTCTCCTATCCAGAGTGTCAGTCAATTGTGATAATGTCTGGAAAGGGATGCCATTGATGTGTGTTATGCGGTCTCCCACTCGTAGTGCACTAATTTTGAAGTCAAAATTTTAAAAAAATATTTACAACACAAAATAAAACAATGTTTAATGTATACCATATAAAACACGACTGAATACATACCGGGAAGTATTGATGGGATTATTGTCCGTAAACTTCAATACATGGAAACCCTTGTCGTCGAACTTCAACACTACTCCCAACCGACTCTTGTCCTCAAATGAGTACCGATTTTTGCGGTCTTTCCGCTCGTATTCCACACCTCTTTGGATAAATGCTGTCAAACAATAGTTAATACAATTGATGAGAACTATTGTACAAAATCAAAAGCCAATTCAACCCAATGCCATCCCCACCCTTCCCCTCTATTCTAACCCATACCTCGTAAGTCCTTCGCCGGTAAGATGTGTTGGTGTTGTTGGTGTTCATCGACACCGCACAGCATAACGCCCACCACTCGGCCGTTCATGTCGAGCACTGGACCGCCGTTAAAGTTGGGCACCGATTTGATACTATGGCCGATATACTGACGGTCAGGATTGAGTATAAACGGCAGGTGCGCTGGCGGCCCGTCCAACGATGTGACGGACCCCATGACAAAACTGCACCCATTCTTACCGCTAGCGCTGCCCAACACGACTACCTGTTGGCCGGCATGGGTTTGGTCGGCCAATGGCAACGCAGTGAGCGCTCCCCGCCTTAGTTCGCGCACTTTGATGAGCGCCAAACCGACCGACGGCTCCGCGTAGACCACCTGTCCGTCGAGTTCGGCCACTCTTGCCATCGAATTGAGCGGAGAAGTTGTGAACAGTTCGCTCGCCAGCCGAGTGGTCGACAACACTAACGATACAGACGTCATATCCTGTGTAGTCATGGCAGTGGTCACCACATACTCGCCGTTATGCACAACAAACCCACTCTTTTGTAACCATTTAATTGCGACAACAGATCGCTGCCAATCGTCGTAATGGTCCCGAACTTCCGTACCGTTCAAACGAGCGTTTCTTAGTGTAAACTTCGGATACAATCGGGTGTTTGTCCACTCGTTTGCCTCGTTTTGGCCATCGTTTCGTCGGCGCCAATAGTGGCCAGAGATCACAGCTATGGGCGCCAGTATTGGGGCACTTATTAGACAGAAAATGATGGTTAAATACACAGTATTTACCAAACTTGCGTTTTATACAAACCTTTGCCCGCATTTTCTCAATATAACTCTCAATTGAAACATAAATCACTTTTTTATTTCAATTTATAATGAATTTTGAAAAATTACTTGAAATCAATGATAATTTATATGAAAACAAATCAAACGTTTATTTAAATCAATAATAAATATATAAAATGCAATAAATTTAAATTAACATATATTTTAAATGAGGGCTGAGAAATATTGTTAAAATTAAAGCTATTTTTAATTAATATTAATTAGTATTAATTTAAACAATTAACTCAAATGTTCGTTACATTAAATCAATCAAATTTAAACAATTTTTATATATTTGCTATTTAGTTGTATAAATAAACATTTTTAGTTTTAAATAAATATTAAGTGTATTAATATGGATATCAATAAATACTTCCCAATGCCTGCATTGCTATCCTTAAGCGAGATTACCGTTAATATCAATGAATTATATGACTTAATAGACGGAATGTTAGGTATATTTAGTTTAACTAAAGAGAAGAATAAGAATGAATATGAGATCGGAAACAAGTGGTCACAATCGGTGTTTTGTAAAATATACGTCCGACAGTAAGTATTATATTTATATTGAATTTACAATTAATTAACTAATAATTATATTATCACTAAATCTAATAGAAATCATTTAAACATCAATCCGAAAAATATGGTAATCCATCCAAATATGGTTGTGATTCTGATATTGGAAGAGATTAATGAGTTAATAAGGAATGTAATCATTGGCATCGATAAAAAACTTGTGAAAGATATGAATCCCAGGGATAAGTTAGTGATGAGAGTAAAACTACATAAGGCATGGAAACATGGGAAGAGATGGTGGGATGCGAAGCCAAAAAATAATTAAAATTTCTTTCAAAGCAATATATTTTAAAACAAAATTGATTATAATTTAATTCAACATTTATTTTATCGCAAATATGTATCGATTGAATGCTTTGTTCACGAAATACAGCAAAAGGTTTACTCTTTAAACAAATATAAATTTAAAATAATATCTAATATTTGTGTCCGAAATCAGTGTCCCATTAGTGGCGTCAATACCGGCTATAATAGCGGGTAATGATTGGTATGAATACATCCGTCACAACAATACCACCAAAAGTCACACAAACTCTTCATTCAAACCATCGCTAACTCTAAGAAGCGTTCGTTTGTCCGACACTTCAGTCGCCGATCATATAAAGCAAGTGATTGACCGCTCGATGCCATCAGTAGTGCGCATACAAACTAAAACAGGTGTGGGAACCGGTATTATTGTGGACAATAAGTTGGGACTTATTGTGACCAACTGTCACGTGGTTAAGGACGAGCCGTTTGTAACCATCTATTTATGGGAACCAATAAAACGGTGGCAACTTTTTGACGGCAACTGCAGCGATGAGACGGTAAACAAACTGCGCGGACATGTGCTGTACTGTCACCCGGATGTGGATCTGGCGGTCATAAGCGTGTACTCAACTCCCGGCGCTCTGTCAGCGCTAAAGCTGTCCGAACGGACGGACTTAAAGGCCGGCGAACCGTTGATATCGATCGGGAAAATCCTATTTTTTATTGGAGTACTTCAGTGGGTATATTGAATGCTACGGACAGACCGTCAATAGAGAAGGTGAGAGCCGATCGGGTTATCAAACACAACGCCGTCGTTATTCCCGGCTATTCCGGTGGTCCTCTACTCGATAGCAACGGCGATGTTATTGGCGTTAATTTCGCCGGAAGTGCCGATAATTGTGTGGCCATACAGTCAACCGATGCCATAAGTATGTCATTTATTATTTTATAAGTACTTAAAAGGGAAATTATGTGTGTTTTGTATTGTTTATAATTTCTATACATTTTGTATACATTATGCAATAAATTATCTATTTTTTGGTCACAATTTCTACGCAGAAATCGTGGAAAAGGCCAAACATTTCGGGCCTAAGAGTTGGAGACAGCGTTTTTCAATGGCCGACAAGAAGTTGTTGGAAGTAATGCTGGAGAAATGGGCGGACGAGTTTGTGGTCATCGGTTTGGGTATTAATACCGCATACGGTTTGTATGAAACCGATTGTATAGTTAAAGTCGACGGCAAACCTCTCAAAACGTTTACCCAATTGGAGAAAGCGATGCAAAGTCTGCCAAATGGCCAGAAGTTAAGGCTTACGGTTGAAAGAGAAGGAGTGGACCATAATATAGAGGTTATGCCACTCTCTGCTCACGATTACAACTGTTCTCGTTATTAATGGCGAGACTTTTTGAACCGTTGCTATCGATCGGTAATTCAAACCTCAAGAATAGCTCAACAGTGAGTCGTGTCGACGGCATCGATAGGCCTATGATTGAAGACATAATTTCAAAGCGTGTTTTGGTTCACTCACCGAATTGTATCGGCAATTACTCTGGCGGTCCGGCTATCGATGGCACCGGCGATGTCGTGGCCATCAATTTCTTCAGATATAGACTAGTCGTGCGATGCCGTCCATCGAAGCCATAAGTATGTCATTTAATACTACGAGTACTCAAAGGAAAGGGTGTTTCGTATTATTTATTATTTTTAAATAATTGTTTGTAATAACAATGTTTTGATCACTTTTTTTGTACAGAAATAATGGAAAAAGCAAAGGATTTTATGGTCAAGAGATCGAGAAAGCGGTTCTCAATGACAAACAGGCGATCGTTGGGAGTAATACTCGAGCGAAGGAAAGAGGGGTTTGTTGTCATGGGTTTGGGTATTGAATGTGTGGAGGGTTTAGAAAGAAATTTTTACTGTATTTTATGAACGATACTGTATTCAATCGATACATATTTGTGATTAAATAAAATTTATTTTAAAAAATACTAAAATATTTTCAATGGATTTATGTTAAAATTTTTAGCTCAATTTAACAAACATTTGAATCAAACACATGAATATTTTATTGATAGTAACACAATAAAAAATAATAAAATACAAAAATTTAGATTTATTTTATTATTTTTAATTTTGTTACTATCAATACATAATTTATATTTACAAATTTATTAATTTATAAGTAATCTATTTTGAAATTATATTTCTAATTAATAGAAGACATTTTGAAATTAATAGAAAACAATGAACTCTTTGTCTAAACAATTGGTTTATAAACATTCGGAATGAGACAATAATTTGTCCTAAATAAGGCTCATATGATGACCAGTCATGGATCAAATTCTTTAGATTAAATATCTATTACGTCAGTCGTCGACCGCCCCATACAAGTCGTCCATCCCTTCAACGGGTACTCCATTGATACGAGTGATCACATCGTATGGATTCAAACCCAAACCCAATAACATGTTTATCTGAACGTCAAACACATCCCATAAGACAATACCGTTGACCGGCAACTGTACTGCCGGTATATTACGCTCGGCGGCCAACCAATAGACTATTGCGTTCAGAAGTAGACTCTCTTCTCGATCGCTTCGACACACTGTTAAGGCTAAATGTAAGACCAAATGCATTAGTTTCAGACATTATCAATGAAACATTATAGTTTAGATAGTGGATGAGGTGTTGGTGGGGAGGGGTGTGAAGGGCCGATTAGTTAGAAACTTACACAAAGTGTTATCGATGGAAACAGCGAGTATATGCCGATCGACGACATACAGCCAATTATAGCCAATTGACTCAGACGTCGGTGTCCAACAAAACTGTACTCACATCTAGGGTGGCCAACTCAAAAATTTTTATTTTCAAAATGGTAAGGAGAGACCAATCGCTGGAATCACTGCTCAAACCGAACGTCTATTAAATGAGACAACAATTTGTTGCAAACAATTCACGGCTTAAATCACAAAATATTTTAATACCTATTAATCAATACTCAAAACAAAAAACTTATTTATTGGCAATATATTACATAAAAATTAAAATTTTAAACACGAGAATGATTTTTGTAAAACTAATTTTTAATATTGATATTATTTTTAAATCTGAAAATTGAGATAAATGTCGAGTGAATAAAACAATTAATCTAATTTTTGCATAAATAAAATAATACAATAAAACAAAAACTAAATATCAAATAACAAATGAAATAATTGCTGAATAAAAAAGACTTTTAAATCATAGAGAAATTGAGAGGTCGGGGCCGGACCTCCACCTGAATGGGGTCGGGCTGTCCCACTTGTAACACAGTAAGGGGAAGGCCAGCACCCGATGCCAGACCGTCGAGAGCACCGGTCAGTTGGGCTATTGTCAGGAGAGGGATGCCATTGATGTGTGTTATTTGGTCATTGACTCGAAGTTTAGTACTATTTTAGAGTTCAAAAACAAAATTAAATACAAAATAATTATGAAATAAAATCAATATATTTTTAACGTTTAAAAAACCATTGAATACTCATTATTATTGGGATTGTCCGCAAACCTTACAACACGTATACCAGTGTCGGAGATCCTCAACACTACTCCCGACTGATTCTTGCCCTCAAATGAGTACCGGTTTCGCCGGTCTTGCGTTTCGTACGCCAAACCCTTTTGGATAAAGTCTAGGAAACAATAGTCAATAACCAATACATAACTCAATAATACAATAAATGATTGGCTTATAAAATGGCTAAACCCAGACGCCATTACCTCGTAGGTCCGCTGTTTTTACAATGAAAATGCTAGAAGTCAGCAGAACTCCCACCACTTGTCCATTCATGTCGAGCACTGGACCGCCGTTATAGTCGGGCGCCGATTCGATATTATGGTCGATAAACTGACGGTCCGGATTGAGCGCATAGAATGACGCGTTCGGGCAGCTGATGGCGCCGGTGACGTAACCACGCTTTTGGTCGGGCATTCCCAACACCACAACCCGTTGGCCGGACACAGTGTGCAAATCGGGACCGAGCACTGGCAACGGCGGCACAGCATCAGCGTTAATATCGATGAATTTGATGAGCGCCAGACCCACCATCGGATCCCTGTAAACCACTTTACCCTCGATGACTGTGGTGTAGTTGTTAGGGTTGACCGCTACGCTCGGCCACACACGGTGTGTACAAACGCCAGTAGACAAACGGACCATCACTAAATTGTAGCCACAAACAGCCAGCGCTGTGGTCACCACATACCGGCCCCTCTCCACTACAAACCCACTGCCGTTGATCTGGGTTTTGTTTCTTGAATCCATTATAGACACAACCGATCGATGCCATTGCTGGAAGTGGTCGCGCACATCCGTACCGTTCAAACTAGCGTTCTTTAGTGTCAACTCCGGCCGCAATCGGGCGTTTGTCCACTCGTTTGACTCATTTTGGCCAACGTTTCGTCGGCGCCAATAGTGGCCAGAGATCACAGCTATGGACGCCATTGGATTTGAAACATATGGTTTTGGAGGTTTCGATATGAATGGGTTTGACGGAGAAGTCGATTTGTTTTTCACATTTGACTTATTACTGGATTTCACAGTAAACCCTTTCGACTTGGGATCGGATTCGTGTCCATCGGCCTGATTCTCATAGGGTTCTATATTCTCCTCCCGTTCAAAGTATTGGTCAATTCGCTGCAATTCATGTGCTTTCTTGGCTTCGGACACTATTATAATCAATGAATACAACATTTAATACACAATATGTGATAATATGTATTGAATACTCGGCTCATTGCGATCGCGATCTTGACGTCGACGTCTCCGTTCGGGTTGTTGTGTGAAATATAAATATAAAGTACAAATTATTACCACAACTATGAAAATTAATAAACAGATAATCAAACCCAAACCCACATATGGAATATGAGTTGGCGTTTGTGTCGAATTCATAGCCATTTTTATTAAACTATTGTCTAATAATAATAAAAAATTGTAAATATAATGATAATTTGAATTTTATTTAATAACGAGAATTAAATAAGTTATCAATTGTTTTCATAAATGTATTGAAAATGCAATTTAATAATCAAATTATTCATATTTTAAACGTGATATAAACTCATATACAATACCCGACACTATTATCCAAAGAAATGAATGGGAAATGAAATGTTGGCATTAATAACGAGAACAGTTGTAATTATAAGCAGAGACTGGCGTTACTTCTATGATAACATTCTCTCCGTTATTAATGACATAAAGCTTCACAATCTGTTCGTCTTTTTGTATTTCTTTCTCCAATTGAGTGAATGTTTTAAGAGTTTTGCCATTAATTCCCACAATTATATCATCTCTTTCTAAACCCTCAACACATTCAATACCCAAACCTATGACAACAAACCCCTCTTTCCTTCGCTCGAGTATTACTCCCAACGATCGCCTGTTTGTCATTGAGAACCGCTTTCTGGAATTCTTGACCATAAAATCCTTTGCTTTTTCTACTATTTCTGTACAATAAAATTTGATAAAAACATTATAATTACAAACAATTATTTAAAAACGATAAACAATACAAAACACCCTTTCCTTTAAGCACTCGTACTATTAAATGACATACCTATGGCTTCGGCGGACGGCATCGCAAGAGTGTGGTCTTTAAATCTGAAGAAATTGATGGCCACGACATCGCCGTTGCCATCGACGGCCGGACCGCCAGAGTATCCGCCGATACAATTGGGTGAGTGAACCAAAACACGCTCTGAAATGATGTCTTCAATCATAGGCCTATCGATGCCGTCGACACGACTCACTGTTGAGCTATTCCTGAGATTTGGATTACCGATCGATACCAACGGTTCGCCAACCATTAGGTCCGTGCGTTGGGACAGCTTTAGCGCCGGTAAAGCGCCGGGAATTGTGTACAAACAGATGACCG